CGCCACCTCCCTCTACCACTGCCTCCCGCACTCCCGGACCGGGCCCCCTCCCCCCGCACCGCCGGCCGCCTGCTCCCTCCTCCTCCTCCTCCTCTCGCCTCCCTCCCTTCTCCCCCTCCCCTTCGGCTCCGCCGCGCGGTGCACCAAGGGATTTGTAGTCTGCGCAGGGGCAGCGGAAAAGGGAGTATAAGATCCTCCGGAACTTCAGTTCCCAGTAAACCACGGATTGGCGCAGGCGCAATAGACTGCTTTCCCCCAACCAGGGGAGTGGTGGGGCGATCCAGAGCCAGAGACGTAGAGCGGAAGAGTGCGCACTGACTCCCGGGAAGTGTAGGCTGGGCGGGACCAAGAAAGTAGACGAAGAAGGGATTAGAACTCTCGGCCACCATACTGCCTCATTTTGTACCTTCTTTTTATCCCTACGGGAACCGCCCCACTTCCGGCCAAGGAGACATGAATGCTGGGAGATGAAGTTCTCCTAGTGATAATGGCACCCTTTTCCCAGTATTTGCCTCTCTCAAATTTCACTTTACAGGATCCCACACACAGGCACAAATTCTGCAAGTGACAGCCAGTGAAAGACAGTCCTCTCACCCCCTCCCAAACATGAACATCCTTTGTCTGTAGTAACAAATTTGGATATGCATACCTAAAAGTCGTCCTTCCAAACTTTCTCCATAAGAACCCACAGTGAACACCGTAGTGTTCACCCCTTTGTTTACAACGCAAGCCAATATACACACATATAAATCAAAGTTTCACGCGATAATGCTCACATTATTTCACACAATAAAGAAAGCCCAGCTTTTTTCAGAGGGAAATACCAACATCAAACTCTCTGACTTATATCCCATTCCTTCTCCTCTCCCACCACTGAAGCTCCTGACACTTGAAACAAACAAACAGGAGGTGGAATGACACAGGGCAAAATTGAGTTCAGCTCGGTGGTTTCTTCTTTATTGATGTGCCTCCTACCTCCCCCCGACAATATTAATCCCTTCCATCTACCTCCCCAAAAAGAAGGTAGTGAAAGGAAGGGAGCCTGCTTGGGCAGTTAGAAAGGGAATAGAAACCAAAACAATCAACGGATGTGACAGAGATTGACAATCAAGAAGTCTAAAGCAGAGTGGGAATGAGGGCAAATGAGGGGAAAGAAAGGAGATGCACGGAGACTGTGTCTACCACTACCCCTCCTGCTGAGAGGGACGGGAGAAACAGCCTCAAACATTAAGTGCAGGTCCTGAAGAAGGAGATGGTGTTTTCGCCTGAAGGAGGAAGTAGATGTCAAGGAAGGAGCGCCACCTCTCTTTGTAGAATGGGACCCCCCACCTCAGGGACAGCAGCTTCACAGACCGTAGACGCTTTCGTCACTGTAGGCGATGTATAGAAAGAAGTCTTCCTCGTGGTGCTCCTACAGTGAAACAAGAGAAGGGTGTAACAGCAACTTGAACTATTTACCACCCCAAGCCGGTCCTCAAGAGGTCCTCAAGGCTCATGTTCTTTTAGCCGGGCGGTGGTGGTACACACCCTTAATCCCTTCACTCTGGAGGCAGAGGCAGGCGGATCTCTGTGAGTTCAAGGTCAGTCTGGTCTACGGAATGAGAGTGTGAGTTCCAGGACTGGCTCTAAAGACTAAGAAACCCTGTCTTGAAAAGAAACAAACAAACAAAAAATCATTCCTTTAAGCATGGCCTGGTAATTCAGGCAACTGGAAAGGAATGACAGTTAAAAGCAACAGAGGCAACTTAAGAACCTGATTCAAAATACACTTGAAGTTACAAGGTACTAAATGTAGTGCCTAGGACAAAAGGAATAAAAGAAGAACCATTCACTCGTATTTTCTGTCATTCCTTTCAGAAAGGCTGCCCTCAAATTCACTATGTAGCCAGGTGGTTTCCAACTCAAGATGCTAATGCCTCATCGCCAATGTTTGTTTGCTTGTTTTCATTTATTTTATTTTTGGGGTATAAGTGTGTGCATGTATTTGTTTGGGTTCTCTGGAGTTTTCATTTAATCCCATAGTGAGATAAGTTCTCACTATGTAGCTCTGGCTGGCTTCAAACTCCCTATGTAGACCACGCTGGTCTCAAACTTAACAGTGCTCTACCTGCTTCTACTTCCAGAGTGCTGAGAATGAAGGTGTGCGTGATTACACCCCACTTTCAGTGGTCTTATGTTATTTGTTTTCAGATAGGATCTCGATATGTCTCTTTGATTGAGCAAGATAGCTTCAGAGATCACCAGTCTCTGCCTCTTTAAGTGAAAGGGTTAAAATTGTGTGCATAGTGTTAGACAGGCTCCTGCCTCCTGGGGACTTCAAAGATTCAAAATGTGTACCACCGCACAGGTGTTATTCAGAGTGGGACCTCAACCAGGTGTGGTGGCGCACCTCTTTAATCCCAGCAGGAGGCAGAGGCAGGCAGAACTCTGAGTTCAAGGCCAGTCTGGTTTGCACAGCAAGTTCCCAGGACAGACAGAGTTACAAAAAAAAAAAAAAAATACCCTTCCTTCCTCAAAACAAAACAAAAGATCTCAAACTCTTCTGACATCTTGGATGAGGGAAAGAGACTTGGGTCGGAGGGGTCCCAATCAAAACAACTACTCTAACTGCTGTCCGAATCCCAGCTACCCAGGACTGCACTGACATTTTAAAGCTAGCAAGCCAGCTAGTACAGAGAACTGCTGACCTTTACTTTCTTCTAGTCAAGCTGTCCGGGACTCCTCTCCAAACACTACTATTCCAAGGTACTATACCTGGTATAGCTGACCCATCGTGGCACTGGTGGGTGGAATGACGTTGTTGACAAAGAAAAACAAGGCATCCTCAGCACGGAGATGAATTCGCTTCCGGATCAAGAAGTAGAATTGACCCACTGCCAAAAACAGGAGATGCAAGAAAGTCACCGCGGTCATCAGTGCTTCCAGAAAGCAGCTGTCAGGTGAAACCTCCTTCCAGAGAGGGTATTCCCACCCACGGAAGGAACCTGCATCTGGGGGCTCGTTCCCACCTGTAAGATCTGAAGGCACCAGGTATTTCTTTTTGTCCAAATCTCCTATCCGAGCTTTGGGAGCTTTTTCCACTATCACCTGATGAAAGGAAGTTAAGAATGAGAAGACACAAAATACACAGCTATATCGATGAAGAACGCAAGATATGATATTCCCTATACAGAGATGTACTATTATCTCATTTTTCTTTATCCTAACATTCGTGATGCACGCAGCATTGAGTCCAGAGATCCTGGCCTCTCTGGCTTACCTAAATAGTGAGTATTGATCACAGAAAGGCACATCACAATAACTATTTTCATCAGAGAAACGGGATGACTAATTTGGGTCAAACTCTACCTTAAATCTAGGTAGCTGAAAGGATGACCATAGTTGTCAAGCTCCCCAAGGCCTCCATTCTGACAAATGCCAAGGTCTCTCCCTCTCTCTTCCTGTCCACATCTCAGTCCCAGCTCTACTTCTACAAGCTTCTCGTCCCTGGTACCAAAAACAACAGTTTCACACTTCTAACCCTACAACAGGGTGGAGCCCGATCTCCGCTTTCCCAGACTCAAGCCTATCTTGTGGTGACAGCGTCAGCACCCTAAGCCTCGGCCCTGATCCTGGATCCTGTCCTTACCGGGACCCGGTCTGGGTATTTCTTTCGGATTTTCTCGCCCTCAGAGCGGCGCTTCTCGAACGGATGCTCCTCTTTGTACACGAACTTCATTCTCCCGAGAACCGGGCTGGACCGAGCTGGGCTGAGGAAACCCGGGGGGGGGGGGGCCGGGACAGGGGGCGGCGGCGGAGGTTGGCGGCGGCTTCGACGAACAGACTCAGCGGAGCGATCCACGAATTTGCGCCACTTCCCTATTCACCAACCCCGCCCCCGACCATCCGGAGCGGCCCCGCCTGCTGAAATACGCCACTAGCTCAACTTGCTAACGTCGCTGGCGTAGGGCCACCAGCTGGCCGGCCGTCTCACGCCTCCAGCGTAACCGCTTTGGAATCAATTTGTGGGTTACGCAGATGACTTCGCAGCGAAGGTTACTGGCCTTTCAAATCAACTGAAAACCCTTTCACCGGTAGCCCACCAGTTCAAAGCTGAGGACGAAATGAGGTAGCAGGTGGCAGTCATGAAATTTGGGTCTCCAAGTCGTTTCGTAAATTACGTAGAGGAAAGCAGACACAAGTCTAGGTATTCACAAAATGGGTTGCTATGCTGAAGGCGGCCGTTGACACCAAAACAAAGTAGTACCCAAGACGTGGAAACAGACTCCACAATAGAAGGGCAGAAAGAAATGGGGTTTGCAGACACGTACAGAACGCCCAGGAATCGGGGTTGAGTGGACCAATAAGAACTGCGAAGTCCAAAAGATAGGGACTACGCCAATGCGGAGGAACACATTTTTCCGCGGTGTAAAATATCATGTGACCTAAGAAAAGGGCGGAGCATCACGTGGCGGGTAGCAGAAAGTAGGCCCGGCTGGAGAGGTGTCAGAGTTCCGCACCAAGCTTACTGCAGGAGCACCAACAGCCCATAGGCAGCGCCCTCTTGCCTGTCCACGTCAACCTCCCAGACCAAGCCCTGCCCTTTTCAGCCTTCTATGTCCTACTCTGAAGTTGCTCTTCCATTATTCTGCAGGGTCCCCCATCCTATCCCGGGGGGCCTTTCCGGCCAAACTACGTTGACATAAACTTCTTTATTCCTATACTGAATCCCACTTCCCCACATCCCAAACAAGATCTTCCCCCTCTGCTTCAGGGACAGGACCGATGTGAACAAGTTCCCTCCATTTCCAAAAACGTCAGAGAAGGACCTATGGCAGCTTTGGTTTCAAAGTTATAATGCATGGTTTAAAGGAGGAAGGAGAAGAAAAGAGAAAGTTGATTACAGGTATCCGGGGAGTCGGGTGAAGAAAAACTGAGGATAAGGAAGGGAAGGACAAGTCTGAGGAAAACCCAGACTCCCGCCCGCAGCCCGGCCCCTGGAGCAGGAGTGAAGAAGTAGATCGGTTTTGTACAAGAGTTTTTAAAAAATCAAATCACAACAAAGTTGACTTGGCTTCTTTTGAGCCTCTGGGAACCACCATGTCTGTCACTCAGGCCAGTCCTGCTTCCCCACCACAGTCTCAGCTCTGCCCCTGCCCGGCAGTTCCGTGGAGTGTGAACACGAGTGAGGCTGCTTCACAGTCTAGCCCATGTGTCCATCCAGACTCCATATGTGGAGTGCAGGGCTCCGCGGGCAGAGAGGGATGGGAGGGGCAGACCCTGCCCAGGCAGTCCTCACATTGGACAGGGCAACAGACGGCATCCCAAGAGTTCACCCTCCCTTCCCCCCCACCCCAACTCAGGTGGAGGGGGAGCAGCTGTCACCAGAGCCTGTGTTGGTGAAGGTTTCGGCTCAGCACAGATCGGACATCAGCAGTGAACCTGGAATGACAGTAACGAGAGCGTTGGTGGAGTACCTTACAGTTGATACACTCACAACAGACCTCACTGGAGTTAGGATGGAACTGAGTACCACTTTCAAACAGTGAGACAGGCTCAATTTGAGAGAAGCCAAATGGCTAAAAACAATGTGCTCTGGAGTTAAATGGGCCTGGCCCAATCACTGAAGTTCTGAAGGACTCTTCCTTCCTTCCTTCCTTTTCTTTCTTTCTTTTTAATAATTAAGATTCCCCCCACCTCTTTTCCTTAGGAACCCAAGTGTTGCTGGATATGGTGGTGCACCTGTAACCCCACCAGCACTTGGAAAGCTAAGCCAGGAAGCCAAAATGTACCTACAGGCCACTTCCCTTACCTGAGGGCATCCAGCATTGGGAGAAGGTTGAGAAGGGCTGTGTCACTGGGGTCACTGAACCAGGATTTGATAGGGATGGCATTGTCTAGGGTGGGTAAAATTACAGTTGAGAAGAGGAAGAATTCAAGAGAGCCTGTGAGTTTTTCCTTATTATTACTTAAAAACCATACACCTCACCCACCAATTCATAGCCGCCTAGGTAAACCCTTATTTCTCCTCAAATGTCAAACTGAATGATTAATAGGCTTCACAACAGTGGAGGCTAGAATTCTGGTCTACCTGCTACTGTGCCTCACTTGGAGTGAATTTGATAGGAAAGTTACATTTAAAAAACAGACACATGAGCATTGGTACCTCACTTGAATTAGAGAAACAACTTAGATTCAGATCTGTAGTGCAGCAGGGAATTCAAACTCTGGGTCTAGGATCCAGGTCTTCTGCCTCCCAGCTCCTTACATTCAACTCCTCAAGGAGGAGTTAAGGATATATAAATAGTATAGTGTTTGCCGAGGATTTAATTTGAGGCCCTGGGTTCCATTCCCAGATCTACTAAACTAAAGAGTCAGGTCAGACTAGCCTGTTATTTAAGGAGACCCTGTCTCGGAAATAAAAACTAGTAAAATAAGCCAGGCGGTGGTGGCACATGCCTTTAATCCCAGCACTTGGGAGGCAGAGGCTGGATCTCAGTGAATTCGAGGTCAGCCTGGTCTACAGAGTGAGTTCCAGGACAGCCAGTGCTGAAAAACCCTGTCTCAAAAAACCAAAATAATAATAATAATAATAATAATAATAAAATAAAAACTAAAATAGTCCTCAGAACCATTTCCTGGTCCTTCTAGAGCCACCACCTGTCCCCGTACCTGGGTGGCTCCTATAAGCCCCGGGGGAGTTATCCAGGATCACAATGCTGGAGAGGTCACTGTGGACCACAGAGAGGTCTTTGATGTAGCTGCCCAACTCCAAAGTGCAGTGCTGAAAAGCAGAGGATGATGTAGCATACACACACCATCCCCACTCCCACCTCCCACCCAGGACCCAGGTAACCTGCCTCTCAAACCTGCTTCTGGCTCCTTACCTGTCTATAGTATCTCCTCTTAAGAATGCTTCTGCTATTGTCCAGTTTATCTGCCACAGCAGAGCCGTAAATTTCCATGCTTGCTGTAAACACCACGAGCTCATACCACTGGCTTACCTGAAGTAGATTGGAGAGGAATACAGATGTCATACAAAGTAATCATTCATTTAGACATAAAGATTCTTTGTCAGTCTAGACCTTCTGGCCTTCAAGTAAATCAAATGTCAATGAAAATACAAAATATTTTTGAACCCTCCACTAATCTTCCAAACTCAGTGTCTGAGGTATAAACACAAAACTGCAGGATGCCTATGAAAGAATAGAATTATAAAACCGCAACAAATATACCCCGGCTACTCAAAGCCATTCCCTTACTTCCCTACAGATTCTCCTTTACAAAACTGCCCTTACTCACTGTCCTAGTTGGCTACTTCATTGATATAACTAAATATTGACCAAAGTCAACTTGGAGAAGAAAGAATTTATGTCATCTAATAACTCCCAGATCACACTCCATCACTGAGGGAAGTCAAGGCAGGAACCTTAGAGGTAGGAACTAAAGCAGAGACCACAGAGGAATGTAGCTTACTAGCTGGCTTTCTGTGGCTTGTTCAGTGTCTTCTTACCCAACACAGGACAACCTGTCAGAGGTAGTACTGCACTCACTAGACTGTGCAACTGCCAAGTTGTCCTCTTCTCCAACCACAAAGACACAGCATCTCCTAGGTTCTTAGTTTGGCAGGTATAAGATAATTCATTACTATTTTAATGTAAACATATCTATCCTATCAGTTCTGTTCCTCTTGAGGTTCCTATTACAAATCTGAAGCAGAAAATGGGATCCTGCTAAGACAGACCTGACCATGATGATCTGGAGGACAACTGGGGAAGCATTTGGAACTTCTCAATGCTTACTGCTTCACAGGCTGTTGTGGGGAGTTCAGATGATGCTGAGAACTATGCAAAGGAGAGAAGCCTGGTCTGGAAGGTTTCAGAGGGAAACCAGGACTACCAGGGCCATTTATGTAATGCCTTGGATTAAGAATCACAATCTGTGGGGGCTGGAGAGATGGCTCAGCCGTTAAGAGCACTGACTGTTCTTCCCGAGGACCCGGGTTCAATTCCCAGCACCCACATGGCAGCTCATAACTGTCTGAAAATCCAGTTCCAGGGAATCTGATACCTTCACACCGATGCACATAAAATAAAGTTAAATAAACCATAAAAAAAATTAAAAAAAAAAAAGAATCACAATCTGTGGATATAGCACCCACATCAGGCAGCTCACAACTAGCTGCCAGTTCTAGGTGTTCCAACACTAGGCCTTCATGGGCACCAGGCATGCATGTGGTACACAGACACACATGCAGGCACTCTCACATATACCCAAAATAAAAATAAAACAACTCTTCTCAAAAGAAGAACCTATGGGCCGGGAGGTGATGGAAGTATTTCCTCAGGATTGGCACACAGAGGTTATGGTCTAGAAATTATGGCCTAATTAAGGTTGCATCTTGGCATGTATTTCAAAGTCCTACATCGAACTACTGGTTTTAGCAGCATGAAGACTCCAGAATTAAAGAGATCATGGAGAAAAGTTGAGGTTTGGCACTATGAAGGCCAGGAAAGGCTACAGATGAAGGTACAGCCTCAGTACAGTGGAAACCATAGGACTAAGAGGTCATGAGGTGAAGCTTAGGCTTGGTACCGTGAGCAGAGTCAGAATTCCTGAAAAGAGGGGGCTGGAGAGATGGCTCAGAGGTTAAGAGCACTGACTACTCTTCCGGAGGTCCTGAGTTCAATTCCCAGCAACCACATGGCAGCTCACAACTGTCTGAAAATCCAGTTCCAGGGGACCTGACACCTTCACACCAATGCACATAAAATAAAAGATAAATAAATCACAAAATTTAAAAAAAAAAAAAAAAGAATTCCTGAAAAGAGACTGGGAGGAAATTGGTCAAAGTGCAACCCCAGTTGCAGCAGAGACCCTAGCATGTCGTTATCTGCCAGGACCATGGGATGACCACGGAGACAGTGGCAGATGTGGTGTGGAGCAGAGTCAGCTGTGTGCTACCAATGGCCGAACTGGAGCAGTGAAGCACCCAAGATCTTTGGAGCCCTGGAGACCATAAGTATCAAATGTCAGACACCGAGCTGAAAGATTCGATTTACACCACTAGATGTTGGTTTTGCTAGGATTTGATTGTAACTGCCCTGGTTGTTCCCTCTTGTAATAAGAAAGTAACCTGGGTGAGAGACTTTATTACAAAATGTGTGCTATGCCTCTATGAAATGAATAAATCAAAGCATCATAAACTGGTTTAAAAGAAAGAAAAAAAGTAACCTGTTCCAGGCAATGGTGGCACATGCCTTTAATCCAGGGGGTGGGGGTGAGAGTGGTGGTGTTGGTCAGAGGCAGACAGATCTCTATGAGTTGGAGGCCAGCCTGGTCTACAGAGCAAGTTCTAGGACAGCTACAGAAACCCTGCCTCAGGGATAAAAAAGAAAGTAACTTGTTTTGTGATTTTACAGGCAGTCACAGTTAACACAGTTAACAGACTCTGAATATTTTAAAGAGAATTTTTTTAAGAGAACCAAATGGATGGAAGACTAATTTGTATCAAATTACGGCTGTCTATATCCATAGGTGTTAATATAGCCCTTGGAGAATTCTTTTTCCTCTTTTATTTCTGAAACAGGGATTCTCTGTGTAACAGCTCTGGCTATCCTAGAACTTGCTTTGTAGACCAGGCTAGCCTCACAAAGATCTACTGGCCTCTGCCTCCTAAATGTTGGGATTACAGGCATGGGACACCATCGCTCAGCTGAGACTTTGAACTTTTAAGTGTTAGATTTTTTTAAAGACTGTGGGGCTTTAAAGTTATATTTTATATTAAGAAATGAATATGAGACTTAGGGGAATAAGTTACAGTTTTGGGGGATTTTTTTTTTGTTTTTGTTGCTGTTGTTGTTTTGGTTTTTCGAGACAGGGTTTTGCCATTTAACACTGACTGTCCTGGACTCACTTTGTAGACCAGCCTGGCCTCCAACTCACAGAGATCCACCTACCTCTGCTTCCTGAGTGCTGGAATTAAAGGTGTGCGCCACCACTGCCCAGCTAAAGTTACAGTTTTTAAGATTTATTTATTTGCATATAGGTATGTGTCCCTGCATAAGCTATGGCTTTTGATTTTTGTGGAGTTTTTTGTTGTTGTTGTTGTTGTTGTTGTTTTCAAAATATGTCTCTGTGGGTGTGGGTATTTACTTTGAGTGCAGGTGCCCATGGATGCCATAGGCATCAGATCCACTGGAACTGGAGTTGTAAGTAATTGTGAGCCACCTGATGTGGGTCCTTGTACACATCAGGTCCTCTGAAAGAGCAACAAGTGCTAAGTGCTATCCACCACTACCAATCTCTCCCACCCAAGACTATGGTTTTTAAAGGAATGTGTTATTTTGTCAAGTGACAAGGGATAGACTGTGATACTTGGTTTTAATGTCAACTTGCCACAGATTAGAACCACCGAAAAGACCGCTCAATTGAAGAACTGTCCTGATTGCTTTAAGCAATGTGCGGAAGACCCACCGTGAGATTTGGTAGAAACTTCTGGTAGCAGCTCAGGTAAGAAAGCATGACAAAAGGAAGATAATTTGCCTCTTGCCACCATGCTGACTCACCCTGCTGCTGCAGCTGCTCCCCTCACTAATGTCACACCAGCATTTCCAAGCATCTGTCTTCAACTAAGGACTAGCAGCTCTGCAGCAACCTTCCAAGTTTTTAGCAACAGACTGGAACTGTTGAGATACCTGCCTCATGGACTGAGTAAATACCAAACTGTCAGCCTCTCCAGTATAAGACAATCTCTGGGACTGCTCCAACTGCTAGGGTACCCAGCCTCAAGAACTGAGCATCTACCAGGTTCTTAGCCCTTGGATATGAGCAACTCATTACTATTTTATTGTAAGCTGAATAATATGTATCTCTATCCTTGTATTCTATTGGTTTTTGTTCCTCTAGAAAACCCTGACAAATACACCAACTTCTCACCCTCTTCTCCAAATCCCCTAAAGCCCTGAACCCCACAACTGTACTTTCATCAGGGAGCCCCCATTAGCTCACACACTCACCACTTCTAAGAAGAAATCCACATGGGGTCGCTTATGTACAAAAAACCGGACAGGATGTTTGTCTATTACCACCTGCAGAGGAACAGGGAAAAGATGAGGGACGTCCTAAGTACCACCACATTGACCTTGCCCCGTGCCTACCACCTGCTTTCCTCCTCCTGGCTGATCCTGGTGCCAAGTTTTGCCAAGTCCTAACCCTTAAGAGTGGGAAAGAGTTTGTCTGAACACAGTAAGAGCCACAGCCTCACACACCTTGAGGATGAAATCGGGAGGCGTTCCAGGCCTCACCGTGGGCCGCAGGACCCCGTCATGATGAGAGTGAATAAGTGTTTCATCCAGATCCAGCACGAGGATCTTCTTCTTCACCTGGGCTAAACCACAATGGGAAGGAATAACACCAATGACCTCAGCCCAAAGCTGGAGTCAACTTCACCTTTGGGTAGCCTTCCCATCCAACATACTCACCTAGTCGATTCCGGGACAAAGGAGATAAGGGAAGGATATCATATCGAACAGTTTGATACTGAATTACCTAAGGATAGCAAAAGAAAGATTAGAACCCCTCATAAGGAAATCTTTCCCGACAACAATAATAGCAAATACTGAACATTTATCATATGCTGGGCACTGTATATAAGATTCAGGACCTAATATATAATCCTAATAGGGACAGAGGTAAAATTCAATGGTAGAACACTTGTCTGTCTAACATGCAAGAGACTCGAGTTTCAATGTCCAGCACCATAAAAACATAATAAAACTCAAGTAACACTACAATTATCCTTGTTTAATGGATGGTCAGATAGGCAGCAAAGACTAAATACCTTCATGCCAAGGACTGCACAGTTAAACTTAATTAAAGTGAAAACTCCATGAGAACATGAATTTCCTCTCAGTCATGCCTATTTTTTCAGTGCCTTAAAAACTGTAGCAAGAATAACGAGTTAATAGCAGAATGTGTCCTCTTAACATGGTATTCTGCTACACTGAACAAAGAAACACACAGGTCCCCACCTTCACCTCAAGGGTTCTTCATGGCCATTCCTGTCATCTCTCATTGGGAACCAAGAACCTCAGCCTCTTACTGGGAAGAGACTAGGACTCCGGAAAGGAAGTCTTTGGATCCCTGATGGGAACAGTAGATGAGGGAATCCAGGGGTTGTCAGGTCAGCTAAGTTCCTCTGGCTAGGGGCCACCACGACTATTTTAACCAGCCACCTGTTCACTTCTGTTTCCACTAGCCAAGTCACAAGTTGTAGTGAATATCCGAGAGTCTCTTTACCCTGGTACCCAGGGCAATGGAGAGACACTGTAAAGTCCCACTTGCCAACCTGACAGAATAGAGAGAAGGCCAAAGTGAAGCAAGGACTGTGAGAGAAAGGTGAACAGGGACAAGGACATCATCCCTCGTGCCTTCCAGCTCTGCTATCCAAGGCTTCTCTAGAAACTATTTCCTAATCCCCAGAGCTTCTGCGCAAGCCTGGCAATTCCCTCCTCTGCTCTTTCCTAACATACAAATGCTCTCCAGTTCATTCCTAGGCCCTAAGCCACACATTCCCTACTTGAAAACCAAAAGGCCTTCTCTTCTTTAGTCCCAAGGCATCTGCCCTTCTTTTCTCCCTGAGCCTGTGATGAGGGTTGAAACAGCTCGGGTGTCCTGCCCTGCTATCTCGGGTTGCACATGCTGGGCATGTAGGGAATGCTCCAAGTAGCTGCCAGAAAGGGCGTGGGGAAGAAACCAGACTGGAAGGGAAGGGAGGACAAAGGGCTGTTGGGTCAGTGATGTCCAGAGGAGCAAGTAACTGGTCTTCCAATACATGGACTAGAGCACTATTCCCAACACTCAGAAAAATAAAATGAGCTGGTAGAAGAGGGAGGATCCTCAGGACAAGGTCAGAAAGAAAGGATTAGCAGAAGTAGGCACACACAATCACAGGAGTCAGTCTTGCACACCCCAAATCTTTCATGGATCCTACCACTCTTAGGAGACTAGGGACTAGGTGTGCTTACAACCACGACCACCACCCAGAATAATCTTCACCCTAAACCGGAAAGCGGAAGAACTAGAAAAGACTGCTAGAGAATGAATGCAAGTGCAAGGCCTGCTCCCAGAGCAGTCAGGTCTACTGCCAGTACCACCAAAGTCTGTCTGGGGGTTCTCTTGACTCAGCTGCCAAGGGTCACACACAGCCCACTCATTCTCCCTGAACCTGACCTTAGGAGATGTGCCCCAGGGGTGACGAAAACATAGGGGCACATTCATCAAGCGATGTTATCTGAAATAAATTTTACCTTGGAGAAAAGTTTGAGGGCGAGAACCCAGAGACACTTGGGTTCCTCCCAACAGTCTCTACACTCCAGGTATCTCTTCCTAACTGCTAAGAGTCTCCTGGAGAAACATGCCCACCTTCAGATGCAAGTTCTACAGCTAACAGCCAGGTCTTCTAATGAGACACTCAACTTGAAAGTGCTGCCTCTTACAATGAAAGATGCTCATTATAAAAGCCTCTTTTCCAGCCCAGGTTCTCAACAAACACGCTATAGGTGGTCAAAGACTCTTTGGAGGAGTTCCTTCACAACCAAGGCTTTGCCCCCAAGTTCCCATGCCCTGCTACAAATGCCCCCTACACACACACTCACCACTGACAAAGGAGCCCGGCCCTTTCACAGCATGGTCTTTCCAGAGCACACAGCAACAGTTCTGGTACCAGCAAACAGGTGTTCCCTGCCTCTTGCTTTCTTTAGCAACAACTCCACCTTTCTTAAGGAGAGCACGGTTCTAGCCCCAAGAGCTGCCAAGTGCTATTCCATCTAGGCAGATGAAAAAAGAAACCAAAACCACCACAGATCTTGGTTCTTTTCTAAGGGTCCAAATCCTCCTTAAAGGTGCTCTACTTCTCCAGTGGGTAAAGCTCTGGCCAAGCCTCCTTTCCTAGGCCCAAAACAGGGGTCCAACACTATCCAAAATTTCCGTGAGCACCGAGGACAGAGGTCCCCACCACTGCCAGCAGCTACACTAACTCACCGTGCGGATCTGCCTCCGCAAAAGGTAAATAAAGAAGCTCCAG